GCAGATGAAACTAAAAGAGCTTTATTAACATGGAATAAAAGAAAAGTGATTATCGAAGGGATAGCACAAGGACTACTATATTTGCATAAACACTCCCGGTTACGTGTCATACACAGAGATCTTAAAGCAAGCAATATTCTTTTGGATAGTGAAATGAATCCCAAAATATCAGATTTTGGGCTTGCAAAAATATTCAGTTCAAAGGATACTGAAGGGAACACAAAAAGGATTGCCGGGACATAGTAAGCTTTTCCTTAAGTCCATCCTACTAGAAGTTAACCAAATACCAAATAGAAGTTTACCTTTTTCTGTATATTTTCACAGTGGGTATATGGCTCCCGAGTATGCTTCAGAGGGTCTGTTCTCGATCAAATCTGATGTATTCAGCTTCGGTGTGCTAATTCTTGAGATCATCCATGGAAAAAGAAACTCATGTTTCCATCAATTTGGGGATTTCTTCAACCTTCTTGGATATGTAAGTATTTTCTGTATTGAAGATGCAAAATCATTTTGATCATCTAAAAACATTGTTTAATATGTCTTCATTCTCCTGCAAGGCATGGAAGTTGTGGAAAGAGGAAAGATGGCTTGAGTTCGTCGATGAATCAATAGTTTCAGAGTCTGACGTGTTAGAGACAATGAGGTGCATCAACATCGCACTGCTCTGTGTGCAAGAGAATGCAGCTGATAGACCCACAACAGCAAGTGTGGTTGCGATGCTAAGCAGTGAAAGCATGACCCTGCCTGAACCTAAGCATCCGGCGTATTTCCACATAAGGGTAACGGAGGAAGAGCCACCTAGTGCTAATGATGTGACAATGTCTGCTCTACAGGGCAGATAGTATCATCCTGCATGATGTGTTTTTTTTGTGCTGCCGCTTTCCTGAGGGAGCTCACTCTGTTTTTTTAACACTAAAGTTCTGACAGAAACACACACAAACCTTGGGACTTTGGTTAAACATGGCATGAACGGAACACAATCTACTCATGTCATTAGAAGATGACTAATCAGTGTTTATATTGTAATGTTGAATCATAAGCATACACCTAGTTGTTGATGACGAACTGTGAGGTAGAGCACAGTTCAGGTTGGTGTTTCGCTTTGCGTAGAGAAATAAAAGGGTGGTAGGCTAAGATTAAGATTATTCATCCAACCACATAAGCCTTTTTACAGAAATCGTACTCAAACATACATGGGCTATATATTTGGCATATGCACTGAACCGATTCAACGCAGTGGTAAAATCCCTGAAGCTGACCTCGTTTCAAGGATCGATTCGTTTGGCAGAAACACACATACGGCGTATCCTGCTCGATGTGTTTTTGTGCCGCTGATTCACTTAGTGTCTTAGGGGGGCGCCTTTTGTTTGACACACACATACCTTTGGTTAAACATGGCAAGAAAGGAATACAAAATCTATCTACTCATCTTCAAACAGCAAAAGCAGATGGCTAATTAGTTTGCATATCGTGACGCTGAATCGTACGCGGTCACCTCGGTTGCTAATTGCTAGTGACGACTTCCTGTTGGTGAACGATGGATTGCGAAGTACAGTACATTTAAGGTTGGAGTGTCTCTTTGTGCAGGAATGGTAATGCCTACCTACAAACAAACCTAAGCATAAAACATTTAAGGGTGATGCATATTATTAGCCCAGGCATAGAAGCTTGTGCCCTGAAATCCTAAGCATAGACATCCCCGGTGCTGCAGAATGGCTATGTTTACTGAATCGACTCAACTCATCTGTTCCATTCCCCCAACAAAAATCCTCAAAGCTAACCTCACGGGGTGGTCCGAAATCGCGGGCTACCTGTCATCTTCGGGCGAGGGAGCAGGAAAGACGCCGCCTCGACCCACCCTCGCCGTCGCCGCCGACGCCGACCACCTCCGGATCCATCGAGGGAGAGCCGCCGGAGGTTGCGGCGAATACGAGCAAAGGGGTGGAGATGTGACTGGTGGAGCCGCCGATGACGGCACAGGCAATTAGGGAAAATCCTATTCGCCGCTCGCTGCGGCAAACTGTCGAGCGATCGCACAGGGGCAGCGCAGCGAGCGACAGAAATGGGCCGGCCCACACATAATGCGTCCAAACCGGTTTTGGGAACCTTAAACCGGGTTTTTTTCCTGTATCGTTTTTTCCTGGTTCTTTTTCGGCTTTCTATCGTTTTTTTATTTCTCTTTTTTTCGTTTATGTTCCTTTTTTATTTTTTCGTTTTTTTTCTTGTTTCACTTTCTTTTTAAAGTTTATTTTTCTTTTTCAGAATATGTTCATAGTTTTACAAAATGTTTATGATTTTCTTTTTTATTTCCTTTTCTTTTCTTCTCTTCATTTAAAAAAATCAAAAATTTAAATTTTGTTCGTGTTACCAAAAAATGTTCTCAAAATTTAAAATTTGTTCTCGTTACACAACAAAGTACAAAACTTCTGAAATTCAGAAAATGTACTGAATTTCAATTTTTGTTCACATATTCAAAAAATATTCGCGCTTCCAAATTTGTTCGGGATATTTCAAAATTTCTCTCCATTTCAAAATATGTTCTCAAGATTCAAAAAAATGTTCGTGCTTTAGAAAATTGTTCGGACTTCCAAATTTGTTCGGAATTTTTCAAAATTTCTCTCTGTTTCAAAATATGTTCTCAAGATTCAAAAAATGTTCGTGCTTTAAAAAATTGTTTGTGCTTCCAAATTTGTTCAGGATTTTATAAAATTGTTCACCGTTTTAAAATGTTTGTCCAAGAACATTTTTGAAAATGTTCTTGGAGTTTTGTTCATGTTCTGAAAAATGTTCGAACTTTATAATTTTTTTCACATTTTCAAAAAATGTTCGCATTGTCTAAAAATGTTCAAAATTTCCAAAGAAAAGCATGTAGAAAAATTCTTGGAGTTTCAAATTTTTGTTCGCATTTTCAAAAAAATGTTCTCACTTTTAAATTTTGTTTCTGTTCTGAAAAAACTTTACAATTATAGATTTTGTTCATTTTTTCTAAAAAATGTTCTGAATTTGTAAATTTGATCGTTTTTTCAAAAAGTTTGGTGGTTCAGATTTTGTGTTTTTTTTAAATTTGTTCAAAATTTCAATTCTCCGTTCTTGTTTTTCGAAATTTTCTGTTACAAATTTGTTCGTAATTTTGAAAAATGTTCGCATTTGCAATTTTTGGATTTTCTAACAAACATTAAGTCTAATCGATGTCATGTTCGGTTCTTTTACTCTCCCGCTGCAAGCTAAGCACTAAAACTAGTTTACCGCAGTGGTTAGCATAGCGTGCGCTAGTCCACTAGGTCGCCGGTTCGAAACCCGTACCTGCGTATTACTTTTCTCGCATTTTTTCATCTTGCGAATGGTCAAATGGGCCGGCCCAGTTTCGGCACGCCTGTGCGAAACGCCGACATTTCGACGCAATTTCGACGCAATTAGCGTCACATAGGAGCTCTCGGCAATTAGCTCAACTCCCCGCACCCGCTACGATTAATGATGGGCCGGGCCAAACTAGCTCAACTCCCAGACCGATTTTTTTTCTTTTTTGTTTCTCCTTACGGTTTTTTCGTTTTTATAAATTTCGTTATTTCCTTACTTTTTTCATTATCTTTCTTCTTGTCAGTATTTTTTTTCATTTTATTTCCCTTTTTCCAATTTCAAAATTTCTTTTTCCAATATAAACATCTTTTCAAATTAGTGTGCTTTTTTTGAAATCTTGATTTTTTTATCGGTTTCACGTTTTGTGGAAATTGTAAACCTTTTTCAAATTCATGTATATATTTTAAGAAATTCACAAACATTTTTTGAAATAGCAAACATTTTATGATTTTGCGTTTTTATAAATTTTTATATTTTCAAATCCACAATCATTTTTTTATAAATTTAAACAATTTTTGAAATCATAAACAAATTTAAAATCTTGGACATTTTTTATTAACGATCATTTTTTCAAATTTGGGAATAGTGTTTGTTTGAAGAACATTTCTTTGAAATGCATGAATTTTTTTCAGAAATTTACAAATAATTTTATAAATCAGCCAACATTTTTTTGAGATGATGAACTTTTTTGTAATCCATAATAGTTTTTAATTTTTTATGAACAATTATTTTTACAATTTATGACCATTTGTCTGCATTGGCAATTTTTTTATTGATTTCATCAACGTTGTTTTTGAATCGGCAAACATTGTTTGAGTCAACAAACACTTTTTGAATGGGCGTTTATAATTTTTAAATTCATGAATAGTTTTTTGTTTGACGAATTATTTTGTGAAATGCATGAACATTTTCCAAATTCTTGATTTTTTTCTAATTCAGCGAACATTTTTTTAGTCGAAAAACTTCTTTTGCAATCAACGATCCTTTTCTGATTTTTGTGAACATTTAAACAAACTTTATGAGCATTTTCTAAATTCCTGAACATTTTTTCAAATTCACTAACATTTTTTTAATACATGAATTTTTTTGAAAATCGCGAGCATTTTTTAATCCACAAACATATTATGATTTTCTGAAAAAAACATGTTTTTCTGGAAATTTGGATTTTATTTCTAAATACCAAATTATTTGATATATGAAAAAAGTAAGAACAGATACAAACGAAAAACAAATATCAAATAGACAGAAATAAAAAACATAGCG